CGATTTCGGCAGAACAGAACATTCCATCACATTCCACAGAGTTCTATTATATACTTGATCAATTCCTTGATTCGTTTTCTATTAAGTTATTCGCGTTTCCATTTTCGTTTATATAGAGTGGGTGCCCTTTGTATAACCATTATTACATCCACTTTCCCCAATAAATAACCAAAAAATTTTCCATACATACATACATTTAATAATATTGAAACATGAGTGCGCAAATTTTCACGCAGTCGCATACACCAACCACTACGAGCACTGCTACCTTCTGTCCACAAACTGCGTCCATGAACCAAAGTCACAAGCGGAAAAAGTGGTCGCAATGGACTGACACAACAAGGGATAGTGATGGCAACAACGACGACGACGACGACGAACTTCAGTGTCAAAGCCCGCTTAAAAGATTGAAGACACGAGATATGGAAAATTCGAGTGCTTCTTCGTCTTCTTCCCGATTTACATCATCGACGTCGACAGCCTACCAACAACAGTCCCCTCGGATTAATTTGTCATTTCTTTCACGTAATGACGATAGTACTCGTCCCCTACCGAATCAAAAAGCCTCAATATATAATTTCAACAATAACATAAATATTAACAAGAAAATTTCGACGCCACCACCAACAACCCAGGTGCCAACAACAACACGTTTCATCGATCTTCGAGAAAAACCTGATGAGGAAGAGATTGAATCGTCGCGAATAATTGATTTGTCGACTGGTGAAGCACTCGAGGTTATCCCTTCAGTTGAAAAACAACGTCAGCGTCAGCAGAAAAGGAAACGTAGGATTGATCAAGTGAACGACCAAGAGAAGAATGACGAATCATATTCATCAATTGGACGGATGACATTTAATAATAATAATAATAATAATAATAATAATAATTATTATGAGGATGGAGGTCGTTCAACATCTATTAATAATAATGTTAATAAACCTCTCAATAAGAAAATGAGGATCTCTCTCCAGCCCACCACCAATTTCATTGAAGAAATTGAGGAGGAAAGCGATAAAAGTGATATCGAGCAAAATGATAATAACATCACAAAAGAAAAAAGTGCAAGCATGTATCCAACATTGAAATTAAAAGTATCCGGCGATAAAATTGCTATTGTTGATGATGATGATGATATCAGTAGCATTACAAATAATAATCATTATAATCATAATAAAAATTCAACGTTATTGTCCTCAAACTCATTATCAATTCTAAAAAGATTTCAACAAGGAGGTAAACTTAAATTTACCGTTCCCTATAAAAAAGCGTTTGCCGATTACATGCGGTCACAATTCGAGTACATGAAGAAAGGTGATGATAATGCGGGTGACAAGGGCGAGGGAAAGCAAATGGTGCTATATAATAATAATAATAATAATAGTAGTAGTAGTAGTAGTAGTAGTAGTAGTAATAGTAGTGGTGGTGGTGGTGGGAGTAAAAATTTCCCGGCTGAGTTGTTGGAATTTAAAGAACTTATTCGTGGAATTGAAAAAGAACAACAATGGCATTTGCTACAGCAAGATGATAATGATGATGATGATGATATAGAAGGCAAGATATATGAGATTATTGAAGACGACAATCAAGCAGCGGCAGATATCGATTTGATGAAACCGTCAATGACGATGGAGTTGGATGGTGATATGGAGGTGTTGGATGATAAGGTCGTTAATGGGTCTGTGATGGAAGAAGAAATACCGGTGGATGAGATGGAGATCGATTGATGATTTTTCTAGATTGCTTAAAAAAAAACATTTGTGTATATGTCTAACAATATAATACAATTGTATGTTGTAAATATCAAAAGAAATTAAAAGTATTAAAAATCTTGTTATAATCCATGAATTCGTATCATGCTTTTTTAAAATTTTGATTTTTAGGTTCGATGTTTGTTTGTTAGGGACTTTTTGAAATCTCAGTCGATATATACAAAGTTAAAACCAATCGAATTTAATAAAAAACCGAATTATATTCGGTTATGATTTTCAGAAGCTGCGAAAACCGGTTTGTCCTCAAGTTATTTCCAATCTAATAATGTCAAGTATTCAAAATAACAAACCTATTATTCTCTGGTGTCATCCACGTACTGTTTCGTCAGCATTCGAACGTGCATTCCTTCAACGTTCTGATGAATTCATTTGTTTTCATGAACCATTCGTTAATGCTTATTATTACGGTCTTGGAAAAAATGTCGTAAAATCTGGTGTTGACTTGAATACTCGTAAAGAAGCATATTCAACACTTATACACGATATTATTAAAAAGAATCGCAATGAGTCCAAGAGAGTATTTGTCAAGGATATGGCGATGTACACCAAAGGTCATTATGGGCCTGATGGTGATGGAATTTTTTCAAAAGAGACAATCTTAAACATGATACATACATTTCTTATTCGAAAGCCAGAGAAATCTGTAAAATCATATTATCGAGTTATAGTCTCTTTAAGAGAAGATAATATTGATAATATAGATTCGCCTTGGCATGGAATCGAGTTCGATCCAGCTTATCTTGGAATAAAGGAACTTCGAGAGCTCTTTGATTATGTTAAGGATGAACTTGGACAACCACCTATTTTACTTGATGCTGACGATCTCTTGCAAGATCCTCATGGAACCATGTCTAAATACTGCGAACTGCTAGGAATATCATTCAAAGACTCGATGTTGACTTGGAATAAAGGCAAAATTCCGGCGTGGGAAAGCACGAATGGGTGGCATGTGTAAGTATTTCTATTTTCTTTATTATTCAGTTAGTCGAGCACGTTATAATAAATTTGATTGATTAGCGCCGCTGAACAAAGCACCGGATTTAATGAATTCTTTGACAAAAACAATACCAAAGAAATCGAATATCCTTCGATTGTTCATGAAAGCATACAACAAAATCAAGCGGATTATGAATATTTATACCAGTATAGATTGAAACCTTAAGTTTTTCAGCCGTTCATCATTTAACATCGCTGGTAGTCCAGATGGATGAATTCCAAATTTAATTGTGTATAAAAATCCGAGTAGTAGAAACTCATAAATTGTAAATCCCCCCTATTGTTGGCGAACTATTAGCATTCGAAAGTTATTATCTGTGAGATCGATATAATCACTAGAAAATTTCAATATTAGCACAAATTTGGGATCTAGTCAATAAAATAATCTTTTTGCTCTCTTTTTAATTGATCATCAAAATTTTTTTTTGCATATCAATATTTAATATACGGTGGTGGTTATTTCATTACATCTACCGTACACAAGAAAGTCACTACGAATTTAAAGCATAACCATGGTAAGTAACGACATAGAAGCTTTTATTTGTTTGAACAGAAATGAAGAAACCAGAAATGTTATCACTCTGTTCAGCCATTTGGCTCTAATATGAGCAAAAAAACTTTTATTAAATCTACTATTGCTAACATCGAGAAGACTTTTTCTCTATGTACGTAACGACTAAGTTCTGTTTTATTTTAATTTCACCAAAAAAATAACAGGGTTTCACGCAACTTGATAACGATTCTGGTCTTTCTGTGCTCAACTCCTTTTTGGAGGACAAGTCCTATATTCAAGGGTATTTACGCTTATTTTATTTATTATAATAATATATTTGCAAAAGTTAATTTATATTACAATGATGATGAATACATGTTTGGTCCGTGTTTCTGAGACGGACGTAAGACCCCGTCAAATTGAAAGAAATCTAACAAGCGCATTGTCTGATCCATCGTAAAAAATCCAACATGGTACAATTTCAGAAGTAAAATTCCTAATCACGTTCTAAGAATACTAATCGTACGATAATAATAGTTATGAACCAACTCAAGCCGACGTATCCGTGTTCAAAGCACTCAACGGCAAAGTACCTGACGCTCATAAATATCCACACGCAGCACGCTGGTACCAACACATCAACTCCTATTCGCACGAATTCGACTCTCTACCCGGTGACTCGAGCAAAGACGCTTCACACTACGGTCCGGAAGTTGTTCAAGCGCTTGCTGAAACGAATCAAGGAATTGATCAAGTATATAATAGAACTCTGTGGAATGTGATGGAATGTTCTGTTCTGCCGAAATCG